ATTATTCCGTTTTGTATGAATTCCATGTTGTACGAGTCACTTAGATTTTACAAATACGTGAGCTGTTCACAGCCCGGTACACGTATTTGTAAAATCTAAGTGACTCGTACAACATGGAATTCATATAAAACGGAATAATCAACAGTGTTATAGGGGTGTCGACTTGTACTTTAATCGACTTTTTATTTTTGTTTATTTGAAGTTTACAAGAGAAAAATATAAGAAACTAATTATTTCGAAATTGTTATCCATGATATTGTTGTAAACATTTTAAGCTTATATTTATTGTGAAACGATTATACTGGATGTTAAAGCTTAAAAATAGTTCTATTGTATAGCTTAATTTAAATCAGTATTAATGCTGAGTTACAGATAAGTCGATTGTCGTTCTTTTTACACAGGAAAAAAATAGCATTAACAATGGTTTAAATATTACGAGATTAGTTTAACATGGAAATGCTTTAAGTGTTTTTTTATTATTTTATTTTATTGTTATTATTATAATAGTAATAACAGAAAATAATACAAAATATGGAGTGATTTCTTGTGTAAATTTAACCTATAGTGTTCATTAATATTTATAGCGTAATTTTTGGAAATTCTCAATTAACAGTAGTAATTACTATTAAGTTACTATTCCCTCTTTTTATTTTATTAAATAAAAATATCTTAATGTAAAAATAATGTTATAAAATAGAAATTTTTAAGTAGTTTATTATGTTTTGTTAGTAATTGTCATTGCTGATTGTGTTCTATCTCGAAAAAGACAAAATAATCTGGAAATAAAAAATGTCACCATAAATCTGCCGTCGGTCGTTGTGTAATAAATTTATAGTTACTTTTCGAAAATTCCTAGTCAGAAAAGAAGTTTAATTAACAAGAATTTCAGTAGAAAACTTTCAGGTGTATAAATAATTTATTTACTAGAAAGAAAGACTGTCGTGCTCTTTAAATTATAAAAATAGTAACAATCTTGATTATTCTACTTTTAGTTTTTGACAAAGAAATATTCTTAATTCACTACAATTAAGTAAATAACTTTCTGGTCCTAGATGTGTAGATTATACATCTTATTTTGACAGGCCTACGAATTTCATTCGCACTATAATGAAGACAATGCCTTTCTCTTTGCTCTTAGAGTTTAGGCCTTTTATAAATGTATCTACTTAGGCTATATTAATAGGTTTTCAAGGAAACATATTTCAGCGCATCAATGTCAAATACTGCAAATTCCATTTAGACTAAAGATGTATTCGCAGACTTGGAATTTTCTTACTATAACTTACTGTTTTCCTGATAAGAATTCATAATTATCTTACTTACATCGCTTTATAGAATGATTTCTAAGTAGGCTACTAGTAAAGTGGTTCTATGTTCTTTTATGTATGTCTCCATATATAAAAGAACTTGGATTTGGAGCCACTACATCTTGACTCTACTACACTACTGGAGGTTATTTATTTATTTATTTTTATTCAATACATAGAACTGGTATTGAACTTCTAAGTAAAAAGACTCGCATCACTTTGACTTCAAGGCATTCGTGGCTTTCTCCTCTTTGTTAAAAATTTCACTGCCTGAAATATCTTGTTAGATGCTTCAGCATTGCAATAAGAAAGCTATATCAAATATTAAATATCTTTTAATACAGACAAACCTGTAAACAAGGCATTAAATATACAAACTGCCGCTGTAGATATAAGTGTTTGGCCTAAAAGAATAGCCTAATTACTTTTAATTTCTTATTTTTTTAAATTAATAATCTCAGACAATTAATATTTTAAACGTTATTAAAAGTGTCACTGCGTTATCTACTTGAATTCGATTAAAAATTATAATAACGTTATTAAAAAGATACATTGAATCAATCATATAGCAGGCCTAAATGCGTATTGATATTATTAATTTGATTTACATTGATATCATTTCTAAAACTTTTAAAATTATACTATAATGCTGATCTCAACTTCGGATAATGCAGCATTTTTTCGAGAAGAGTTAAATTTCTTAAGCTATAAATTTAATATTTTACGATTTTATAACGATTATTTTGAAATTCAAATCTCTAAATATATTGTCTACATATATATATATAAATTGTATGCATAAATTATATAATGACAGATGATAGTTTAGAATGAATGTAAGCTTTGATATGCGAACAACATCCATAAAATTTGAACTTTTAGTCTATTAGAAAGCTATTAATTTATGTTTTTTTTTGTCATTGTTTTCGGTATTTTGTTGTTTAATATAAAACAATAAAAATAACAACTGTCATTAATTTTATAATTAATGATTGACAGAGTGGATATTGATAAGATATTAAAGAGGTTTAATCTAGAGAAGCAAGCTGGAAAGATAATCTTCTTATCTACGGTAATAAAAAGATATAGATATGAATAAAGCTATATGAATGCTTTTATAGTCTGTCTCTATCATTTAATGAAATATAATAAAAATATAAATGATAAAAAAGAGATTAAGGTCAAATTTTGGTGAGAACTGTTGCACTCTTGTCGAGGTGACTTTACGAAATTCAGAAACTAATTCCGTCGTAAAATATATTCATTTGTCAATACAAAAACTTCAAATCACTTTATTGTTTGAAGTAAAATTGTAAATAGCGTGTCTGTAAGCAATATTTTTATTAGAAAAGCTCATAAATTCTTAGTATGAGAAAAGCAGTAAGTCCGTTTTATATGCATTCAAAATGACAACATAGTCAGCTATTTTTTTCGTTTTCGCTAAGGCCTATAAACATATTTAACATATAGAAGCTATATTAGGACCAAGAACACTAATTTAAATACCGTAATATATTTGTAAATCTAAATAAGTTAACTTTTTCTTTGTCTACAACGTAGACTACAATAGACCAACTCGTAAATAAATAAAAAATAATTTATGACTTGTTATCCTGTTTAAATTGATATATTAATATAAATAAAAAGTAATAAACTAATACATTTAAGTAATATAATATTTATACTTTTTAATAACTAGTAAATAATCTGTTAAAATTAATTTAATTTAAAAGTTATTTAATTAAGTTTTTTACATAGAACTCGTATAACTATCAATAAGCTAGCTCTTGAATAAAAAATTCTTAAGTCAAAAAGTCTTTTTACTACATATATATATATATATCATTTAAGTATTTATCGTAATTTACAGTCAAAATTCGTCTGATGATTGTTAAAATATCATTCCTTCTTGATCTTATATCCTGTAATCTTTACTCTAAGGTCATTTGAAGGCAAAGATGTATAGAAGGCCAACTGGCAGACAGCCTCCTGCAGTCAAATTGTATGGTTAATTTGAGACTAAATTGAATAGAAGCCACGTATTAAAAGACCAAGATTTTCCATTCCCTAATGGCCTTTAAACGATAGGATTATAGTCATGCAGTTGTACTTTGTGTGGATAGATTTATGTATTTCTGAAAAAGTAAGTTTTTGGATTAATATAAAAAGTATTCTCTTATTAAATACACTGTGTTAAAATTTTAGACTTTATAGATCCTAATTGGCGATAAATCGTTTTAAAATAAACGAATAAATAAACAAATGTCTACTTCACAGTTTCTATTATGAATTAGAAATTTCCTAAAATTATTAAAAAATTAATTGCATAAAAAAATTATATAATTTAACTAATATTAGTAACGATTTAAGTTATAGCTTTTACAATAAAATTTCTAGTCCTTTAAAATTATTTTATAATAATTTAATTTACCTTTAAATAGCATTTTTATTATTAACCTTATCTCTTTAACGAGGCTGTTCTTTCCATGTTTTATCATCATAATACCTTTTAAGGACCGTATAAAAATACTAAATCTTTTATGTCATGTAAATATTTAAGGTTAGAAAGTCTCATCCCAAAAACCAATAGGCTACCATTAATTGAGAAACAATAAAAAGCCCAGGATAAAGGGGAAAAAAAAGTTAGTAACAAGTGTAAATTAATTCCTATTTAATTCATCACAATAAAAACAAAACAAAATGTACTGTACTTAGCATCTGTAAATAATTTGTGTAAAAAATTAACTTAATATCATTACAATAACTAATTTAATTAAATCTATAATGTTATGATTTACGTATAAATCATTAAGTACTGTAATCGTCAACAAGATATCTCTAGAATTAGATTGAATATTGGCTAATTCTAACCAATGCCTGACAAATTGAAAACCGTCGACGTAACAAACAAAACTACTTAATTATAATTTAAATAAGTAATCTTTGCCGTTGATTAATTTAAATTTATAAAAAGAATAATTTAATTGGTTCTGTCATTTTTCTTAAATTACGTGGCAAAGTTTAGAATTAATCAAAAATACTGTAAAATAAAATAAATGTAGTTTAGTAATTTATATATATATATATATAAACTTACCAAACGTTTATATTTATATAGTTTAAATTGCACATTTTATAGGGCCTAATTGTTTAATTTTTATGATTTTATTTTTGTTTGTTTGTTTGCATGTTAATCTACATAAATTTAAATTTTTTTTTTATATGTCAATGCTTACTTATTTTTATAATTTTGTATAAATATAATTAATTTTACATCTTTATACTAATAAAAACCTTTTTTTTAATATCAAAAATTTTACTTACAATGTCAAAGGTTAACTTTTTTTAATGGAATTTATTTTAATTAATAGGTAAAGAGAAAAATGTTCATTTTCTTTTAGTAAATAGTTTAAAGATTTGAATTACTTACCCGGATAAGCAGCCGAGGGATGAATTAAATCGATAGGAGGAGATGGCAGACTGAGTCCATTCATCTGATAAGGTGATTTCAGATAAGACATGCAGCCAGATTGAGGTGATACCTGATAGTCGGAAGAAGACACCGCACACAGCCGATATGTCAGAGAGGGAGCGCAAGGGTCCCCGCTGGCCCCAGGGCCCTGGTACTCATCCACGGTGGGCCACCTTCTCTCCAGCTGCAAGAAAAAATAAAAAAAAAAAAAAATCCAAACACGGTCACTCCCTTTCCCGTTTTTTTCCGCTCCATTCCGCCCGTCTTTTCATCGACCAATAGAACCGTCGGGTATAAACAGACAACGCGTTTCTGACCAATCGCGTGTTAGAGGTGTTATAAATTGACCTATGTTAGCTTCGGGGGTGGTACCGTTTCCTCCATGATGAGTTATTTGATATGACGTAATAATCGATGTGTTCTTTAATTAAAAAAAATAATTAATAATTTTATTAAACGATTATTTATTTATTTTTCTCGTGAGAAAATGTTATTTATTTAAAATTGTAAATGTAATGTAAAACATTACATTTACAATGTCGCTTAGGGAAAGAAAGATAAGAATGAAAAAGGGTAACACCTGAACAATACAACTGACAAAGAAATTATTGATTTTATTAAAATGGTTTGTATTATGGTTGAACCTTTATAATGGAATTAAACACTAGTTTTAAGTGGTTTATTATAGGAGAAATTATACTTTCTAACAGTAACAAATATTTAAATTCAAATCAACTTTTAATATATAAGCTATAATACTTCTTTATTTTAAAATTAAAATCTTATTTTTAGACTTACTTTATACATCATATTCTTATAATTAAAATTAAACTGGTAATCTATATAATTAAAAATTTTTTATGTCGTTAATTTATATAAATCAATTGAAAATTAATTAATTTTTTTTATTATTTAGGCCTATATATTTAAAATTTTTTTATTTATGTTAATAGTTAATTTTATTATATATTATTTTGGAGACTTTTTGAGGTAATATAGAGTTTAAGGGCTCAAAATTTATCATTTCTATTAAATTTCTACTCAAAAGATGGCGTCACGTTTTTGTAATAATATAAATTTTAATACATTTTTATAATTTAATATATAATATATAATCTATATTAAAATTTCAGTGTAAAAGTTGAATGGATATTTCATCAAATTAAGAATTTTACCTAAAGAACAGATGAAAATTAATTAGTCTATTATTTTTTTAAATTTGAGACTGAATTTGGCCATTAATCTATGCCACAAAGTTTTAATTTTGCTTTCATAACATCGATTCTGTTGATTTATTGTTATTTTTATTAATCAATCAGATAAATCTTAAGCTTTAGATTAAATTAAGTTATATTAAATTAACCCAACGAATTGATAAGTTTTGTATTTTTAAATCTTTCACATTGTATTTATGGATATTTATTAACTAATTATAAAGTCATTTTTTAGGTTTATTGTAAGTTTAATTTCATACAGATTTTGACAGTATAGTTATATTATTGATATTATAAACGAAACTTACAATCTATTACAAGAAGACTAAGATTATTTTAGATATAAATTTTATATATTAGATGAATTATTAGTTCAGAAATTGCATGTAAAATATATAATATAGTTTAAATGATTATTGTATATGAATTACTTTAGTATAAAGAAATATTTTTGAATGGGTTTCGTACTGATGTTTCGACTATCCTAAGTCTATAACGTAGTTTATATAAGAGATCTTTACAGTCTTAAAACATTAATTATATTAACTAAATTAAAATAAATTATTAAAAGAGTTTTGTAATTTCTTAGCAAAAGAATTAATTATAGAACTTTGAAATATTCAGCTGCACTTAAGCTACATTTGTGGAAATTTGTTCTGTTACTTTGAAATTAATTAAATTCAAAGCAAGGGGGGAAAATTATTTTGTTAATTCTTCTCTTGAATTATTCATATTACGTTATGAAATTTTCAATGTCATGTTTAAAAAAAAAACGGAACATCAAATATGTTATTTGGAATAACATCATCAACCTTCTCTGTAATCAAGATAGTTGCAAAAGTTATTACAGGTTAGCACGCTTGTTTTAAATACAAATAGCTTTAAATTTGCAACGAAAGTTAAGTATTATAATGTGAATTCGAGTTGATATTTTCTGTATTAGATTTATTATTTGTTTAGGCCAATTTAGGGTCTAAATTAGGCCATATATTGGTCTGTGTGGACCTAGATTATAAACAGATGTAAATCGAGATTGAATACAGTACGAAAAACATTTAGGCTACGTTTTATTTGTATAAGAATCGTAAAACAACTGACTAAATTAAGAATTGTCAAATTTAACTATTAAATATAGCGTATACTTTCGATTTATCATACAAAACATAGAGTCAACTGAGTCTACTCTATCATTTGAGTACTTTCAAAATTAATACTAAAACTTCTTTGCTTCTTAATATATTTAAATACGTTTAATTCAAAGTATTTATTCTAAAATTAAGGAAATTTATACTTTTTTTTTTCCTTAAAATTTATAGGTTTATAGAACACCTTTAAAATCAATAAATCTATAATTAGTCAAATGACAACGTATCTTAAACCTGCAGGCTATACATTAAAAAATTTTATTTGTAATTATTTATCTTTTATTATTACAAGAATTGTAGAGTTAATAAACAAGTATTATCAAAAATATAAAGAAAAATGTGCGTGTATTGTATATACAATTTATATACAGTACGTATATAAATTGTATATACAATAATAATATAAATACATATCAAAACCTAAATAGAAAATTTATCAAATTATAAATTGAATCTAGATTTTTCATACTTTGAATTTTATTTGTTTGTTAGTTAGGCATTTAATTATGGAGTAAACGTAATCAAATTAAACCTTTTCTTTGCCAAGAATGAAATTCCCGATTATCATTTCACTAAATAATTAAGTACAGTTAATTAAATTAACGTTAAAAATATTTTTAATTAAACAATTATTTAGCTTCGTTTTTATACATTCGCATACAAGTGTACAAAGCTGATATTAAACGTAACGGATGCTTAATATGGCTAGTATATACAGGCGTGTTACGTGTTATTAATTAAAAAAAATTATTATTTTATATAATCTTCTACTTTCATAAATTCGTTACGAGCCTTATTAATCCTTTATTGTTGTTCTTGGGGTAAAAATATCAATATACTGTCGAGTATACAAAAGGTGGAGTTTATGTTAAATACCAAATACCTACTTGTAGGCCTTCTATACCTCGAAACGGTCCTATAAATCCCGAAAACTATATAGTCACTGTTGTATGATAAACGTTATTACCCATCCCGCTGAGAAGTACAGTTGGAGATAAGAATGGATGAAAAACAGAGTTGAGAGATTCTCAATATTCTAAATGAAGGATTAAAATGAGGGTTTATGTTATAAGGTATAATATACTTAATAGAAGATAATTTATCCATAGATTCGACTCGACGAGCTTAGAATTGCTAGAAGAGATGAAGTGAAAGAGGACCATTATATATCACTTGAGTTCTCGGTGGGGAAGGTGATAACATTACCTTTAACGCTCCGGTCGGGGTAGTGATTGTAAACTCGCGTAGCACATTTCATGCTCTAGAATACATATGAGAATGGCAAAAAGAAAAAAAAAAAAAAGAACTGTAAGGTTAACGAGAAACGGCATTGACCAACATTCGAAGAGGTACTGTACAAAAACCGAAATGATGTTTATCTTTAGGGAGAGGATATTTTCATACGGTGTTAAATCGTAGTAAATTCAAAAGAACGAAAGGTTACTGATTATCAGTAGACACGCTTTAAGTTGTGAAAAGTGTATTAAGAGCCGAATTGCTTATTTTGCAAGTTTTCAGTATAACAAATTTTACCGTTTAAGTTCGCATCTTAATCTTAAAATAACAATTCGATCCTTCAATAACTGTAAACTTTACATAGTTTAATAAATATATTATGCGAAGAGATAAGAAGTATAGTAAATAAAATATCTAAACAGGTTTTTCTACGTTTTCAAACGATATGATAACAGTTGTTTTATTTTGATATTTTTCCCTTTTAAATTAGATCTGCCAAGCCGTAAATGTAATTTTAATTTTGATACGTTTCCGGAGAAATCCGAATTTTTTAAGGATTTTTTTATCTCCAAAAAAACAAGATATAGTTAGAAATAAATCCTGTTAAATCCCAATGAATTTATTTTGATTTTTTTTTCCTCAGCGCCTGTTTTACGTGACTTCCTTCATCACAACTACCTGTCAGAGTCTGTCACTTATTCCTTTTATAAACAAAACATGACTTTTTTGCTTTTTTAAAAATATATAAAAAGTTATTCACCTCTCTTTTTTTTCTGGAATGGCGTACGTGTCCAAATTTCAAGTCTGTGATAAAAGTATGTTATAAAAACACGATAAATTAATGATAATAAAACGTTTCTTCTTCATCTTCTTCGAAGAAAGTTAAATTGGATGCTTAAAATTAACTATTTTCTGTTTAAATATCACACGTTGACTGATGCTAGATTCTAAGTGATATTGTAGTAGCCGGTGTTTCTGAGATGGATGCTATTTGCTCCATTAGTTGTATTTATTAAAAGTAAGTTTTTGGTAATTTGACTGAAATAATGCCTATTTATAGAGCTGAAGAAAGCACCTCTACGATCTTCAGATTATATTTCACAGGCTATAGCTCGGGGTCATCTACCATACCGGTTCCTCTTAACAAAGAGCGAGCAAATCTGTATGCAACACGCTTGTCTCAACTGCATTTTTATATGTTTGATGATCTTGTTATGGAAAAGTCTCGAAGAAACTGAAAGTAGTTAATTGTCTTTTATTCTTTTCCGTTAGATTCTAACTATTTTTTGAGTTCTTTCTGACTCTTATGAATGCCGTCCTTACGAAAACAAAGATATTAAGACCCCGAAAAAAAGAGGGAGAAATTATCCCACTGGTTTCTTTTTTTTTAATATCTATACCCATTCGATTGTTCGGATGATAGATGACATTTTCACGTAAAAAAACATGGTAGGTAAATATATTTAATTGATGATTATTTTGTCTTTACTTCAATAGCCGGCCAGATTTATCATGTGATAACCTTTCCAGATGAATAAATCTGCAAATTTTGACCATAGGAAACTTGCGAATTCCTCACTTCCCTAGTTATTCTATTGTCCTGTTGAAGGAGAAAAAAAAACAAAAAAGAAAAAGAAAAAAGATAGAAGTGCCGGCGATTAATAGCTAGAAGTGTGTATGCATTTAACCTATACATATTCATAGCCCATTATTACTGCATCAGCATTTGTCTGGATGTTGGACTTTGTTTGTAGAGAGTACAATGAGACTTGTCAAGAACTGTCTTCGAATAGGCAATAGAATGATAATGATTCAGTAAATTTCTATTGTGATCCTTAATTTAGTTCGTGCCTCCTATCGCCTTGATAATTTAATGTTCTTTTAAAAGCAAATAACATAAAAATAAATTATTCAGTTCAACTAATGTAAATAATTTTCATAAACATTAAATGAGAACTTTTGTTATACAATCTCAGCAATATATTAAAGCTATTAAAAGCGACATTCTATTTTTATTTTTTCCAGACAAACTTCACATAATTAGATGGTGTGCAGTTGAATCGTTAATGAGACGATGCTTTCTGTAGATCGTGTCTTATCTTAGAGACTAAATTCAGGAAAGTTTTCTTATTTAGAAGGTCTCGAACGTATAGGGGGCCACATGTAGGCCTATATAAAGGTTGTAACCAGGAGCTGTCTTGCCACGCGTCCACTCACTCACAATAGCGAAGGGGAAGTCCATTGGCAGAAATATCACGCCCGCTGGTATAAACCGTCAATGTAATATTCATGAAGGGATGAGAAATGTGCGAAAAAAAGACAGATAAAAAACACTTAAGACTGAGTAGATCTTTCTCATTACTGGCTACAAATCTGTAAATTAAGCAAAAGAAATCTTTTAAAGATTATTTGAATGACCATTCCGTCAAATATTGTCACTGGAAACATTATTTTCTCATTATCTTCTTTGTAATTTATAATGCTAAGAGGCTTACGAGTTTGGATTAATAATTAGCAAAACTTTTTTTTACCCCATTTATAAAAGAGAATTTAAATAAGTTTAACAATTCCGGTTATAAAAAGTTCAAAAAAATTTATTAACGTGTACAAAATATGATAATTTTCCTTTGAAAAGAGCTCATTTTTACATTAAAGTTAATGTCATATACCGTTATCAACGTTCCGCAATTGTTTAAATATTAAATAAATAAATAAATTCTTTTAATTCCTTTGTTTTGGTACAGTACGTAAGAATTAAGGAGAGAGTTAAGATTAATTTCTTAGAAATAGAAGTGAAGATATGAGAGAACGGTCCATCTAAATGAGTGCACGCATTTAAGTAGTAGCAACAAAGCAAAATTAAAAGTAGAAGCGGCTTACCTTTCGCCCTCTAATTGGATAATTGGACTGTGGTTAACAAAACGGAGGCAAGCGTGAAATTTGTTCGGGTGCAGAGCGATTGATGGATGGACGTACTGGCCACCAAACTATTCGCGTGCACATCACCGAACGGTGTGATGTGTCCCGCAGAACGGACCAACCTGCTTCTGCCACAACCAATCACCGGACAAGCTAGTCCACCCACCGATGCCTCCGTTTTTTGATTCTAAACGGCTTCTAGTCATCATAATTCGCTCGTAACTTACAATCAAAATCTTCTATAGAATAAATTTCGATTCAGTCTTCGTGGTAGAGCCGTGCTCGACCCTCATCCGACGATGCCAAGAAAAATATTCTTGTAAATATAGCGAAATTTTTCATGTTTTTTCTGTTAATTTTATCTAATTGTTGTATATACACATTTTTTTTTCTTTAATCGAACTTTTTAAATGTAATTCAACAGAAGAGTTTCAAACATATTTGCATCTCATTTTTAGATTTATCTTTCTGTCTGATGTCGCCTTCTGCCCGTTTGACTACTTTTATCTGATTTATGTTTGCAGAACCATGCTTTTTTTCTCTTTCTTTTATGCCCGCGAGGAATTTATGGCGATTAGAAAGAGTCTTTCGGGTGATTTTTCAAGATTTCGTTCGGAAAGATAGCCCCAAATACCTTTTCCAAATATTTTCCTTACTGTTGCTCCCAACTAAGAAAAGGAAATCATTTCTTTCCTCTACCATTAACTTCTGGCTTTTGCCAAAATGTTTACAAAGAAACTGCTACTACCGACCTTTTTTTTCCTTTTCTTTCTATCTTTTTTTACTAGTTTTAACCAAACAATTGCCGAAACTTAATTAAGAGAAACTTAGTCTAATTGATTAACTGCATCTATTAATCACCAATTTTTCTTCACTTACACAAGTTAAGCGTAAATTCTAAAATTCTTTCTACACTTTTATTACGAAAATGCTTTAAATTCTCTACATTTTTACATTAATTGGTCGCTTGATTATCAATTAAAATGCAACAGATTCATTGTAATTGATGTCGTGTTATAAATATAGATACAGACTTAAATGTCCAGTCCAAGTGAGTTTATTAAATGTATACATATTTTATTAATCTATAAATTCTGTAACGCCTTTTTAATAGAATTTAATAGAAATTCTGAGTATATATTATTGTTAATACAGTTTATCTCGCGAAATCTGTAAGAATTAACTCAATATCTTAATTATTATGTTCTTATAGCAATACAATACTGAGACATTCTCTCCTCTTTCTTATCCTGTTTCTAATCATCCCCTCACTCTCTCCCTTTCTTCAGAATAGATCCTTGTATATCTTTTACACTCTTACAGTGAGAAAATCTTTAAAAAAGTTAATTATTTTTAAAAAAATATATTCTTTGAATAATAATTTGGTATAAATTAAACGTAAAATAATTCTTATTATAATTAGTTTAATGAAGTTTTTCACGTAAGAAACTATCTTATCGTGTCGAGTAATATTAAACGATTGTACTTTATTGTACAGTACAACTCAATATAGTTTATAATTCAAAGAAAAGATTAATAATTTTGATAATAATTAACATTTTACATCAATTATTTGTTATAATAAAACCTTCAGGCTGTTCAATTGTATTTGTCTATAGCTCGAAATCAACTAAGCTTTCTTAGTATCAATAAAGACTTAATTGCTAATTAAATTAGATTTAAATAATATAAATAGGGATTAATTTTTCATTATTATTTTTTCTATTAATTAAAAACAAAAAGTTTATGTATAAAATTTTAATACAGTAATAAATGTTCGCAATTCTATATCTACGTAGACTATTCTAGTCGTATATTATTGTAATAAAGAGAAATTTATAACGTTTTTAAACCATTTTTTATAATTATTTTTAAAAAAAATATGAGTGCAATTAATATATGTATCTATTTAACGATTAAAAAAATAAAAGAACGAGCTTATATTTTTGAAATTTTTCATTTTGTCTCGTAATTAAAACTTTAATGCACTTTTATAATACCAGTAGACCCCCTATAACACTGTAGATTATTCCGTTTTATATGAATTCCATGTTGTACGAGTCACTTAGATTTTACAAATACATGTGCTGGGCTGTGAACGACTCACGTATTTGTAAAATCTAAGTGACTCGTACAACATGAAATTCATATAAAACAGAATAATCAACAGTGTTATAGGGGGGTCGACTTGTACTGTACATATATAAGCGGATATAGGCCTATATATATTAAAAGAATGCATTTAAACTAGAAATAAATTGATTTATTAATGATAAATTTCTATTATATGGCCAATCACTAAACATTCTACTATATAAATTCATAAATTATATTTTGCACGTCTCTAGAACACTTACAGATATATAAAAAAAATTTATAATAGTACTGTACATAGGCCTATATAATAATCACAACATAAGAATAAATATAACTTAAAAAATTCGATTTTATTTATTAAATAATATGATTTTTATCTTTAAAAATTTAATATTTATTGCTTACGAGATCGATTATCCGCGTGTCACTTATATATATATCAAGATTAACCTACAAAAGATCAAATACAATTCGAGATTAAGGCCTACAAGTTATTGAAATTTGAGTGTTGAGTAAAAATCTGTAGGAATATTTTCATAGTTTATATATAAAATAATAACTGATGAGCCAACATACGTTAAGGCTAAGACTGTAACATACACAATGTCACTTTTTACGGGCGGGGTTATTTAATATATACACCTATATACACTTGTATGTGTGTTTATATGTATACAAACACGTGTAATTATTATTACAAAAATAAACTTTTAAAAATTTTTNTACTTCACAGTTTCTATTATCAATTAGAAATTTCCTAAAATTATTAAAAAAATTAATTGCATAAAAAAATTATATAATTTAACTAATATTAGTAACGATTTAAGTTATAGCTTTTACAATAAAATTTCTAGTCCTTTAAAATTATTTTATAATAATTTAATTTACCTTTAAATAGCATTTTTATTATTAACCTTATCTCTTTAACGAGGCTGTTCTTTCCATGTTTTATCATCATAATACCTTTTAAGGACCGTATAAAAATACTAAATCTTTTATGTCATGTAAATATTTAAGGTTAGAAAGTCTCATCCCAAAAACCAATAGGCTACCATTAATTGAGAAACAATAAAAAGCCCAGGATAAAGGGGAAAAAAAAGTTAGTAACAAGTGTAAATTAATTCCTATTTAATTCATCACAATAAAAACAAAACAAAATGTACTGTACTTAGCATCTGTAAATAATTTGTGTAAAAAATTAACTTAATATCATTACAATAACTAATTTAATTAAATCTATAATGTTATGATTTACGTATAAATCATTAAGTACTGTAATCGTCAACAAGATATCTCTAGAATTAGATTGAATATTGGCTAATTCTAACCAATGCCTGACAAATTGAAAACCGTCGACGTAACAAACAAAACTACTTAATTATAATTTAAATAAGTAATCTTTGCCGTTGATTAATTTAAATTTATAAAAAGAATAATTTAATTGGTTCTGTCATTTTTCTTAAATTACGTGGCAAAGTTTAGAATTAATCAAAAATACTGTAAAATAAAATAAATGTAGTTTAGTAATTTATATATATATATATATCATTTAAGTATTTATCGTAATTTACAGTCAAAATTCGTCTGATGATTGTTAAAATATCATTCCTTCTTGATCTTATATCCTGTAATCTTTACTCTAAGGTCATTTGAAGGCAAAGATGTATAGAAGGCCAACTGGCAGACAGCCTCCTGCAGTCAAATTGTATGGTTAATTTGAGACTAAATTGAATAGAAGCCACGTATTAAAAGACCAAGATTTTCCATTCCCTAATGGCCTTTAAACGATAGGATTATAGTCATGCAGTTGTACTTTGTGTGGATAGATTTATGTATTTCTGAAAAAGTAAGTTTTTGGATTAATATAAAAAGTATTCTCTTATTAAATACACTGTGTTAAAATTTTAGACTTTATANTTCCTACACAAAAAAAAAACAAGAAAAAAATAAGGAGAAGAAACTTTTATATTTAAAAGCAGAAAGATTAAAAGAGCAGTGGCGATGGTAACGATCTTTGAGCATCAGGTTTTATACTTTTAAAACGATAATTAGTCCGAGTTTAACATTGATTGAGTTAGGAGCAGAAATATACTAATAAGCAAACTGGTCGGTTAATTAGATTAAGGTTGAAAGCGAAGCTTTGCCATCTTCTCGGCAAGAAACGACTAACTCAGCATTCGACATGATGCTGAGATCTGCGAGTTCTGGTCAAGTGCTCTTCAGGGCTTACCGACGCATGTAGTCGAAATAAAAAACAAGGGCCCATTCGGTCACAGATTCATAGTTGATTAACTCTAAAGAGATCGAAAGACGGTCAGTCCGCTCGGATTTCCCAGACTTTTCTTCTCTACAATTTAATTATTTGGGTAGTATTTTGTAAAAGACGAAAATTCCAACATTTCTCTCTCCTCATTTTTTTCTATATTTATGCATTTTTCAATTTCTCTTATTTATAATAATAATAATAAATTGACACGATTTTATATAGGCCTTCAGATCTCTTCAACGCTGTTGTATCTTCTTAGTTATATTCAAACGTTATTACATTAATATGCTATAGTCTTATGTTATGTATTAATCCATTTTATACTTAAAATTACACGAATATAATATCATTAGTAATTTGACTTTGTGATAAGGTTGATCATCACCAAATCTTCTAAAGTTATAATTGCTATTCTGTAAATATATAAGAATATATTAAATATAAACTTAACTTACGTAATTCACAATAAGCTTGTGTTTATACTGGCTACAATATAATTACAGTACAGGTAAGTAGGCCTACGTATTTTAATTACATTAAGCTAAATAGGATTATATGTTATTTTTAATAAATATATGAAATAAATGACTCTTTTTTCCCGTAAGAAACATCATATTATCTTATTGTTTATCGAGAGATTAATGATTATTAAAATTAGTGGAAAATATCTTGAAATTAAAATG